AAAAAAAAAAAAAAAAGGATAAAAATAGAATAATAATGTAAAACCTCATTTCCTTGGTTACAAGAACCACCCAGGACAGGCAGAGCAAGGGCAGTGTCAGAGTGACTCGTCCCCTTGCTGCTCCCTACAGCAGCCAGAGGAACCAGTGGGAGGCACATCCAGCTGGAGTGGGATGGGGACAACCAGGGCAGGAGCCACTTCCACTTCTCCCTCTTCCCACCAGCTGGCAGCCCCAGCCCTGCCATAGAGTCCTGGCCAGACATCTACCTCCTAGTCACCTCCTTCAGCCTGCTGTCCCAAGGACAGAAGGCACGTGCCAGCCTCTCCAAAGACTTCAGGCGTTCACTCTGCAAACATTTAAGCAAAGTGACAAATTCAGAACAAATCTGACAGAGAACAAAGATATTTTGTAGTTGTTTCATACGCAAAAGATCAGTAGCTGGATTGTACAGCAAGACCTAAATTGGAAAAGCCTGTAGCGTGAGCTCAACTGCCACACAGGTGGGGAGGGCTCCAGCAGCCGGTCGCCAGACACAGGTACAGAGAGAACTGAGGATATTTGGGGTTAAAGGGGTTATGGAAGAACTAGATGTACTTGGAAGAGGTGGCAGGGGACAAGAGAGGGGAGATGGGGTTACTGTAGTGGCATAGGCCCTCTGCAGGAAACTACACTTCGTGAGGATGACTGCTCATGGAACAACCTGAAAATTAAGTTTTCAGGATGGGGGAGTAATCTGAGCCTTGGAGAGTGTGGCACGTGTACTTACTGTCCCACCCCTTCTCATCCAATTGATGTTTAGTGCTTCATGAGGAGCTGAGAAGCTTTAAAAGGAAGCTGATTGACAGCAGCTCCTCTTTGCCAAATTCAGTGCAGACCTGACCAGGGTATTGATCAGAGATGAAAGGTTTGCTAAAGCAGAAGCCAAAGCAGATCTCATAGAGGGTGTGAGTGAGTGATGAACTGTTTACACAAGAGGATAATCAATTTAGGAGGATGGTAAAAAAACCTGCAGTCCTGACAAAAAGGAGTAATAGCAATATGTTCATTAAGCTGGGAGTAATTAAATACTTGTATGGTATGGGTAGAATGTGGACATCCAGGCTGTGTGCAGTGTAATATGCTACTGTTTTGATCACTGCGTGAACAGGGCAGTGAGAAGCCAAGTGAGCTTCTCATTAACCATGAAGACACCATTTTGTGAGTACCTTGTCACAGTCACATGTACTTTCTTGGAATAAGCAAGTTGGGACTGTGTTTTATAGGCAATGAATCTGCCTAAGCCTTTGCTACTAAATGAAGCCTGCGATGGTTCTCCATGGAACCATCAGTAGTCATGCTGGCACCTAGGTCTTTGGGACAACTGACTGGTGGCAATCAGGGCGTCTTCTTAGACAGGAGAGGGATTCCAATTCATGCTCCTGCAAACAAGAAGGAACTGCACATCTGAGGGACCCTGCGTTCTGCTGAGCAATCCAGATAAAAGGAATTTCTTCCAGCTGTGCTATGTAAGAATAAATAATTTATTCTAATTATATTTATGCTCAACAGCTAAAGTCACACCTCCAGCAGTGTTCCTCGTTTGCTGGTTCGGCATTTGGCTGGTTCATCTGGGTCTCTGTGGATATTATTTTTAGGCTTTTAAGTAACACCATGCAGTGCATAGCGAGCACATACACAAAATTCAAGGCTGTGGCATTGAATGGGTGGCCTGGCCTTGAGTCATTTGATAGATTTAGTGATTAGCTGCTCTGAGCTTCCATGTCTGTCGAATGACCCTAAGTAGGAGCTTCTTAACTCCTATCAAAGGTGTTATATGCACAAATGCATTCTGAGCAGTAAGGCTGTAACTCGGACATCACGGTGACAAGTGGTCAGAACCTGGGCCCAGCCTCGTGACTTGTTTTGCAACTAGAGCTGACCAGAAAATCCACCAAGCCACCAGAAGAAATAGAAATCCCCGATTCAACGAGACCAATTTTTCTCCGATAACATCTTTTACCTTAGGTAGCCTTTACCAAACTTCAGAGTGAATTTTGAAACCCTACTCGATGAGTTTTTAAGGAGCCTGAGCTTTCCAGCTCCACGGCTCTGCGGCTCCTCCTGTTGCTGGTGGCCAGGCCGCGGAGCTGCCCACCCACCCCGAGCCCCTGGGGTCTGGAAGCCGCCAGGGCACACGGACCCGTGGGACACGGCACCTGGATCCACCACAACCCATCTCCTTGAACTCATGTTTGCCAAATGCTTTCTGAGTGCCAGAGACACAGCAGCTGGTGTCCAGGCTGCCTTCTGAAGACACCTGCAGGCCCACACGCCACTTACACCCGCCCACATGTACCAGCACCCACAGGCGCCTGCTCAGACAGGCCTCCACACGGGCAGCAGCACTAACCCAGGCGAGCTTCCCCTCACAACTGCTCAGCTCCGGGCAAGGCGCGTCATTTTATCGAGCCCACAACGGCGGCGGACCCCTCCAGGCCGCACCCAGGCCCTGCCCGGTGCCCGACAGGGCGCCGCAACCCCCTTTCTCGGGGGCTGCGCTCCTCTACCGGACAGAGGCTACATCTGGCAGCTGCCAACGGCCGTGCTCGCCGGGAGCTTGCCCAGCCAGGCCCCGGGACCCGGCCCGCGGCGGGAACCGTGTTCTGTACGAACAGCCCGGGACATGGCGGCGTCCAGCCCCCACCGCTGCGCGTGCGCTGACACCGCCCCCGCCCTAACACAGCACTGCCGGCCTGCAGCTTCACCTGCCATCACCCACACGGCGCGCTTATTGGTCAGCGAACCTCCCTCCGGGCGCCTCCAGCCAATGGCCGGCTGGTCTGCAGCACAGGGAGCGCGCTGATTGGTCCGGCTCCTGCCCGGCGGTGGGCGGAGCGGCCGGCGGGGCGGTGGAAGGCGGGGGACGGGCGGTAGTGTGTCTGTGCCACAGGGCGGGGCGGGGGTGCCAGTCGGCGCGCGTGCAGCTTCCCTCAGGCTACCGATCGTCCCGCCGCGGCACCGCACGGTGAGTCGCCCTGGGGGCAGCGGCGGGACCTGTCCCTCGCCCGGGGGCGGGAGGGTGGTCGGCATCCCGGTCAGGGCTCCGCTGGGCTGCAGCGGGGACGGGACAGGACCCCCTGGCGGCGCGGGCGAGCTCCCTGTCCCCTCGGGAGGGGGCTGTCCCCGGGCGGGTCTGCTCCCCCCTTCCCGCCTCACGAGTCCGTTTCTGCCCCACTCAGGCCATGTCTAAGTCTCTGAAGAAGATCGTGGAGGAGAGCAGGGACAAGAACCAGCCCGAGGTGGACATGTGTGACCGCGGCATCTCTAGCATGCTGGACGTGCCCGGCCTCTGTGAGTACCGGCGGCGGGCGGGGTCTGCGCCCAAACTTCCTTATTTGTCCCGGGGCCGCCGCCGGCCCTGGCCGCGGGGGGAGCCGCGCCGCCCCGCCCGGGCTGCTGCCCCGGCCCCCGCTGCGCCGGGGGTGCCCTGAAGCCTTGGGGGCTTTGGGGGGGATCCGTCGGTAGGAGGGAAGAGCGCGGCGCCCGGCAGCACCGGAACGGCCGTGTGCGTGTGTGTGTGTGTTCGGGAGAGCCCCGGCTCCGCTGCACCGGGGAGAGCGGCGGGGGGGCTGAGGCTGCCGCCCCTCTCTCCCCCATCGCCTCTGCCTGTGCGCCGGCTGCCGCTCTCAGCCCGCCCAGCCTCTGACTGCGGCCCTTCTGGCGCTGGAGGGATGGGGAGGCTTTGCCTCCTGTCTGTCCGTTCCGGCCTCTCCTGTCCGTCCATCCTGTCCTCTCCGTGCTACTGAAGCAAAGCCACTGGCCAAGTAGCATCTCTGCTGGTTTTTGAAAGGCGTAGGGTGGCATTAAGCCTGGAGCTGGGCACAGCTGGTCTCTGGAGGAGAGTGAGAGAATGCTGTTCAACAGATACAGCAGGATCATGCTTTGCATGTTGCACGTGCTTCCAGAATTGTGACTGTGTTTTCTTATTGGTATATTGCATTTACAGCAAATGCACCATACCCATAACAACAAAGTGTCAGTTCTGGGGAATTCATAAATGAAGGGTGAGGCAGATGGCTTTGGCTTGCTTTGGCTTTGGCTTGCTTTTGCTTTAGCTAGGAGTGCCTGTGATGTACCTCCTCCAGAGAAGGGCCACAAAAATGGTCAGAGGGATGGAGCACCTCTCCTATGAGCACAGGCTGAGAGAGCTGGGGTTGTTCAGCCTGGAGAAGAGAAGGCTCCGGGGAGGCCTTGTTGTGGCCTTTCAGTACCTGAAGGGAGCCTACAGGCAAGTTGGAAAGGGACTTTTATAAGGGCATGTAGTGATAGGACAAGGGGTAATGGTTTTAAACTGAAAGAGGGGACATTCAAATTAGATATCAGGAAGAAATTTTTCACTATGAGGGTGGTGAGACACTGGAACGGATTGCCCAGAGAAGCTGTGGCTGCCCCATCCCTGGAGGGGTTCAAGGCCAGGCTGGATGGGGCTTGGAGCAACCTGGTCTGGTGGGAGGTGTCCCTGCCCAGGGCAGGGGGGTTGGAACTCCATGATCTTTAAGGTCCCTTCCAGCCTATACCATTCTGGGATTCTCTATTATGGTACAGCTGATACATAATAAGTTGAAGTTTTGGCTGGCTGTAGTGTGCCACAGGCTGAAACTTCCCTTAATATGTGATGTAATGAGAAAAAAGCAAAGTCTAGAACAACCGCCGTACTTGAAACTCTAATTGTACCCTGGGTTAGCTCTTTACTATGTTAGTTAAACTTGATAGCAGACAGGAGCAAGTGTACGTAGCTCTTCTTTACGTGATGGAAATGAGTTCAAGGAAATGTATGGCTCACTATCAACTTGCCATTGTCTGCAGAGCTGGGAGCAGACCAGAGTATCTTCACTCGCGTCAGTGTTCTGCTGAACTAGGTTCTGTACTTAAGTCTTCATCCTTTACTGATTCTTTTCCTGCTTCTGAGTTGTGTGTGTGATTTCAGGAAGATTACATTGTCGAGCCCGTGTATATCAACTCACACTGAAGAGAAAGCTTCACTGTATTTCTAGTTGTTTGAGACAAAGTAGTGTTTAGCTCCCATTAACACAGACCCATTTTCAGAATTATGCTTATCCCTTTCAGATAAACCACTACATTAAGAGTCTGGGGCAGTATTTTTTCAAGTGGACTTGGTGCCTCTTAACAACTCTAAGGCACATAATTAATTAGTCAGCTTTGATCTTTCAGGCAGGGGAAAAAAGGTAATGTTGAAGAATATTAGTAATGCTCAAATAAACAAAACTTTTCTTGTACAAACGCTGTTTTGGGTTGGTTGTGCAGGCAGGGTCAGGGACCACACTGTGGGACACTAGTCCATGGGTGGTCCCTGATATCAAGTTACTAATTAAGCATCTGAAGCTTGTTTGGCAGGGAGCTCCCTAGGTGAAGTGTAGACTTGTGGTACCCGGGTTACACTGCATCAGAGAGGTCTGGGTGCAGATGTTCTTGGTGCACGTCGTGTGACTGGATTTAGCATGGGGATTTGGGGCTTCCTCCTTTTGAGGAGGAAGTTAGGGGAGGGGGAAATGAATGGGAAATGACTGGTTTCTGTTCAGTTAATTGAGACCACCTTGGTTTTTCACTTACTCTGTACTCTGGCAGAGAAGGCATTGTAAGTTGGGATTGGTTCGGGATTTTTTTTTGTCATCAAGTTATTTGCCGCTTTCCATTAGGAGAATGAATGACTTGATTCAAATGTGCCTTTAAAAAAACTAATGAATAGGTATTACCTCTGAAATGTAGGCCTTGGTTTGAGAAAATGTTAAACATGCTTGTTTTCTCACCCTGTCATCTGACTCCTAAATGGTGATCTTTTCTAGTACAGATTGGGTGTTTTGGGTTTTTCCAGTGCTCAGGACCAGTAGGGAAGCTAAATGAGTCTGACCTGGTGCCTCCCTGTCTTAAACTAGCTTAGACCCAGGAGCTTGGCAACCTCTGCATCTCTTCCCGCTTTTGTGTTTAGTAAAGGGAGAGTGGAGTTACCAGCTTGTATATAATGTGGTGTTCAGATTCACAAAGAAAAATTCAGTAGTCCCCGAGCTGCTGCTTGCTCAGGAGTTCATTAATACCATTAGAAGCTGAGTTCTATTTTAGGAGTATTCTTCGAATCCAGGCACTTCCATGTTTTCTACTAATGACTTAAAATACAAACTAGAATTGTGCTACAGGCTTTCAGAGCACCTGAATTTTTGAGACTTTCAGAAATGTAATATGAGAAAACTCTTTTCATCTGCAGCAAAAAAAAAAAAAAAA